ACATTTAGAGTGCATCTCAACAGGAGTTCCTTAAAACAGTCAGTGGGTACATGCGATAGTACAACTTGAGAAGGGTATCTCCGAAAAGGGTAACTCTTCGCTGAACACCATATCCTTTGTATAACTCAATGGGGATTTCTTGTATTTCAGTTAGCATTCAGGTGTCAAACGTACATATTAACACAGTGATTCCACACTGAATTTCATGCCTTATGGCTTATGTGTAAGCAGCTTCGAGGTAGTCTGTGTTTCTAAATTCATAAGAACAAAGACAGTCTTATTTCTGTTTGTGTATGAGCTTGGGGTGTTTGTAATTGTAGATTGGGGGATAAACTTCTGTTTGTTCTGGTTAACTATAAAGTTTCTTTTTCTTTCACGTTCCCCAATGGAACATAGGGGGGCTTCAAGCTAGTGGCTAGCAGTGTTTATTTTACAGGATGGGGTTGCAGTAGCCTCATGCCCAACTTTTGCTCTTCACCAGGATTATTTCTGGCTTAGCGAGGTAAAGGAGTGAGTCGGTGACTAGTTCAAAAAAAAAAGAAAACGAAAGTTTTGTATATTTTTGTTCAGGAAAGAAACTGAACGATTCAGTTGATTTCTATTTTATTGCTTAGATAGAAAGTATATACAGGATTTCATTATTAACTGACATCGGTTAGAGAACCATTGAAAAGCAACACACGAGTAATGGACAGCTGTTTCGTTAGCCTAGTTTCGGAATATTTAGCAGTGTGCACCCAACCTACAGCCATAGTTCGAACCACCCACGATCTTCCGGTTACAAGGTGAGCTAGCTTGTAGACCATTCAGTCACTGGCACCTAATCCGATGGCCAGTTTATTGATTTTAACTTTTTATGATGGCCATGCCAGGGACAAGGGTTGAACGTATTTCTTTTGGATGCGTAGCGTGGGTTTGAGCTTTTGGATGGCTAGTGTCTTGGCTATACCCAGATGTCTTTATTTTACTTCCTTTGATAGGTTTGATCGAATAGTGTACATTATTTTGAAGGATTTTTTGAATGGTGCTGAATGTCTCGAATTGACGAGATCTTCTGTCCCCTTTTATTAGCCAGGCTGGATAGTGTTCGTGAGAGCGTTTTTCAAGTTGGTGCGTGGTACGGCCAATTTACTCAGCTGCGCACAAGCAAGTAAACTGGTATATGCACGTTAAAGTGGCCCAATGTGACAGCTGGTCTTTCACCAATTTGTGATCTTAGTGTGACTGGCACTAACCAGTGTCATATTTGGCGAGTATTTGTCCTCACTCCCGACCTGCTATACCCCACTGGTCACGACTTCTCGCTAGAACTCCTGGAAACTCCATCTTGTATTTTTTTCCCGTTCCCCAGTGGAACATGGGGCTTCAAGCTAGTGGCTTGAAGTTTCTGTAGCAGAGTTTATTTTACAGGATGGGGTTGCTAGCCTCATGCCCGACCTTTCCTCTTTACCAGGATTATTTCTGACTTAGCGAGGTAAAGGAGTGCGTCCAGTGGCCGGGGATCAAACCGGGGACCATGTGCATGGTCGGTGAGCGTCCTAACCGCTATACCACCGACGCACTCCATCTTGTAGGGAGTCATTAAGGAGCATCAGATTAATTTTCAAGAGTTGGACAAATAATCGCCAACAGTGACACTAGTTGATAGCAGTCGCGATAAAATCATGAATTGATGGAAGTTAGAATCCAACGACTGGCCATTTAGTCGGTTCCCAGTGGCTGAAAGGTCCATGACCTTGTCTTGTAACCGGAAGGTCCTGGGTTTGGAAGCCCGTGGGCGCATACTGATGATGAGTCCCACAATAGGCTGACGAAACAGCTGGCTGTCCAGTAAGTACTCCCTGGTGGCTTTCTACGGTCCACTAACTAATATCAGTCCATGGTCAAACTTGAAAAACAGATCATATCCCTACAAGCTAACTCTTGAAAATTGTGTATAATTGCGACTGTACAGCTGTAGTCGGTGAAATAGCTGAAGACAGAATCACGTGTTTCCCTCTCTCTCAGGGATGATAATATCAGTAAACGTTTTCTAACAACTCGCTGACCACCATGAAGAAAAACAGTTGCCTCAAGCTGTTGTATTACATCAACAGCACTTCCTCTTCTCATTATGGGGTAACAAATTCTTAATTAAACAAACTTAGACACACTTCCATCCAACTTTGAAAGATCTTATAGTTAACTGTATCGTATTTTTTTTTTGATGTCCAACTCAAGTTTTAATATTTACTGTAATTCTTTTCTTTAGTGAATATGGGATCTCATGATTTAAAAAAAAAGTGTAATCTTACTTCTTTTAAAGTTCCCTCGCTTATTATATTCACCTCATTAAAACAACGAGAAAAAAACTAAAACATTGAAAAAGAAGATTTACTTATAGCAAACAAAATGAAGAAGAATAAAAGAAAAATACTAACTAATATCTTGCTGTTTATGTAGACCCACACAGAAGAGAAAAACAAGTTTTTTGAAGGAAAACTCACTTTTTATTGATTTATACGAATCTATAATTGAAAACAATAACCACTAGAGTATATTGTGTGTGTATGTGTGTGCGTAAGTAGGTTTTGTTTCTTCCAACTCCAGATGTTCCTCTTCTCATCATTCGGAAGTTGGTGTTTTTAAGAATGATAACTATATATATTTCAAGGATTTTGTATTCATGGTATTATTAGTATGTATATATTTGTACTGAAAGATATTGAAAAAAAAATAGTTTATCGGTGGAATTTTTTTTGAAGATGAATTGACTTTCAAAAGTGTTGAAAATCACAGCTGATGTCTATACACAACACTGCTGACTATCTGTTGTGTATTGGTTATGTTCTATAAGTGTTTGTTTGCGCCTCTTTCCGCTTTTGTTTGGTGAGGTAGAGTAGATTGTTTGCTATTCATGACTAGTTGGTTGGTAGAGTTAATTTAGTCGAGTGGGAATATTTTTAATGAATTTCTCATCTTTTAAACTACTAATTGGGTGGCTAAATATCAGAATACATACATATTGTTTGTTATGCATAATGTGCGTCGGTGGCACAGTGGTTAGGACTCTCGGCGACCATGCACATGGTCCCGGGTTCGAGCCCTCGCCGACGCACACCTGATATCTATGGTTGGCCTGCGAATTTTGGGCTGCCGATATCCACGCTGAAAATTCCATACTTGTACCAAAAATACGGTGTGGAATCAAGCTGTAATAAATAAATAAATAATAAAGAGTTTCCTTCCCCCAAGCCCCACATCCTCTACTCACCTTTTCCTAATCACGTAATTTCATATTGTCCACTTGTCGTCTCATTTTAGCTCTTTGAGTTAAGATTTTGTTTAGTGTTGGATGTTTGGAGGTTATCACAAAAAAAAAAGAGCATAAGACCTAAGTTTCAAAGTTTGTTGGTACCGATTAGTAAGGTCTGATGTCCTGTCACCCAGTGTTGAAGTCAGAGACTTTACCACTAAGTTATCCGGGCTCACGATTCACCTCCTGTAGGACTGTGCTAGATACTTAGATTAGATTTTTTTCCTTCACATCCCCCAGTGGAACATAGGGCTTCAAGCTAGTGGCTTGAAGTTTGTGTAGTAGAGTTTATTTTACAGGATGAGGTTGCTAGCCCCATGCCCAACCTTTCCTCTTTACCAGCATTATTTCTGACTTAGCGAGGTAAAGGAGTGCGTCCAGTGGCCTGGGATCAAACCGGGGACCATGTGCATCGTCGGCTAGCGTCCTAACCGCTATGCCACCGGTGCTGCACTTGGAATTGTTGATATTAAATGGTTGGAGGCAATCGGCCACAGGAAGCTCTAACCTCTCTAGGCTTCATGCTAGTCAGTACTCACCAATCAGCACAGTGTATCTGCAATCTTGAAGGAACTCATCTACCTCCTTCTGTGATTCAAACCCCTGTCACCTAGTGTTGCAATTAGAGGCGTTACGATTGAGTAATTCGGGTTTATGGATAAGTTCATTTAAAAGTGTTAGGTGCTCGTAATGTACTTAGTAGCAATATTTATCTCTTCAATAGCTTTCATGCAAACAAAAATCAAGTTGTGGAGTTTTAGGCACAAAATTTGATTAACATATCTGCTAATTTGTTCAACTGTCAACAGATTACACAGTCAATGATTCATGCGATTTATAAGCATCCGTTCTTAACCCTGATATGGTTGATTTAATGAGTCATTTACGATGGTACAGCACCTGTAAGTCACGTAATATGTCTAAGTATGATACGTGGAAGACGCACCCCGAGACCTTTCTTATTTTACACAGAAAAAGAGAAAAGATTGAATCCTATCCTGCAAAAGAACAATATCAACACTGTTACTTAGACTTCAAAGTTTGAAGGCCTATACTCCACTCGGAGCTCGAAGAAATGGAAAAGACACATAATCTAACCAATGTCAGCTGATGATGAAATTCTGTAACCAACCAATCAAATTCCTACAAACCAATACTTGAATATCAATGAGATGCTCACTAGCAACTTGCCCTATTCAGGTAGGTAGTTACTTGGGGTTCCAGTAGGGTGCAGCCGGTGGGGTGGGAGGACAAATACTAACCGAAGACATTGGCTAGCGGTTGCGCCAAATCGTGAACTGGAAGAAGCTAGAATTCATGGGCTGGCCATTGGATTGGGTGTCAGTGAGTGGCTTAATGGTCTATGAGCTAGCTCGTCTTGTAACTAGAAGGTCCTGGGTTCGAACTATGGAGGTGGGTGAGTACTACTGAAGAGTCCTAAACTAGGCTGACGAAACAGCTGTCCAGTACTTCCAGGTTTTCCAGTGGTTCTCTAAGTGATGTCAGCTCATGATGAAATCCTGTGACCAAACATGATCTAAGTTAAAGACTTTTGTTAGAACGGAAGCATCCTCTCCTTTGTGTGGCGTATAACCTTCAAACATGCGAATTCTGATACTTTTTTGTAATTTATTATTTATTTCTAATTTTAGGCAACTGAAACTTTTTCACACACTCACACGATTTATCAAATCGAACATTGTAAATGGATTATTCAAATTTGAAAGGCGATCGATTAAACGACAATTTTAGCGGTAAAAATGAAATGAACGATGATCAGTCTGCTGTGATCTTTAAAACTGATGTTAATCAAATGAATTTCAACTCTTTTATCAGTCAACAAGCTGTGAAATCATGGCTGCCATTACCACATCCATGTGTATTTGCATCGAATTGGTCATCAGTCTTCCAGTTTAATTTATTTAAACAATATCCATTCTTTTGTCTCAGCTCAAATTCTACGTCTCCACTGAATATAATGGATTCAGACGTAAGAACTCATCATTTTGGAACTGTGACAAAAGAGGCAAAGTCGAGCAGTAGTCATTGTGTTGATGACAGTGAAGATAATGAAGTGGTTTCAAATCATGTAAGTCAGAAATTCGTTGCTCGTGATTGATTTTTCCTTCAGTTTTCCTTTCTTTTTAGAACAAGACATGAAAGGTGAACAACTGGAAAACCTGGGAGTACTGGACGGCTGTTTCTTCCTAGTTTGGGAATCTTTATCAGTACGCACTCACCATCAGGGGTCAAACCCAGGGCCTTCTGTTTGCAAGGCGAGCTCGTATACCATAGCTTGTAACCAGAAGGTCCTTGGCTCGAACCCCGATGGGTGCGTACTGCTGAAGGGTCCCAAACTAGGCTGACGAAACAGCTGTCCAGAACTCCACTGTGGGTTTTCCAGTGGTTCTCTAACCAATGTCAGCTCATGATCAAAATCCTGTAACCAATCAACCAAATCCTACAAACCAACACTTGAAAGATGAACGGTATTGTTGTTTTCAATTAGATCATCTCCAGGCTTTACTCTAATTTACGTAGATTTATGTATAAAAATATTAACCAACGACGGCGATTTTGTGGATTAAATAATAATAACCGAAGGTATGGGAATTAATTTGAGAGAACAATCCTAGTAACTTTGCTTACAACAAAAGAAGTTTGTTCTACCTTTATCGACCTCCCTTGCTTTGCCTAGGTAAAGTCTAATTTTGTGCAGTTGGTTTTTAAGTATTAGTTTTGTTTTTACAAGTCAATCACGGATTGATGTCAGTTAGAGAACCATTGAAAACTAATAGGCGGTACTGGACGGCTGTTACATCCTAGTTTGGGAGTCATTGCCAGTACACAACCACTGATGTAGTTCGAACCCGCGACCCTACTGTTACAAGGCAAGCTAGCTTTATACCATTCAGCCACTAGGACCCGATTCTTCAATGGCTACCGCGTGAATTCTGACTTCCACCAATTGCTGATTTAGCACGACCCTAACCAATATCGTCGGTGGGACATCCATCTTCACATGTGACTGAATGGACTTCACTGGTCACGACTTCTCACCAGAACTTACTCCAGGAAACTCCATCCTGTAGCAAGTCACTAGTGGCTGAATGGTATATGCGAGATAGCTTGCCTTGTAACCCGAAGATCATGGGTTCGAACCCCAGTGGGTGCGTACTGCCGACGATTCCCAAAGAAGGATGAAACATCTGTCTAGTACTCCGTAGTTTTCACTGGTTCTATGACTGATATCAATCCGTGATCAACTTGTAAAGTCGAATTAAAACCCTCCTACGCTTTATTATTTTTTATTTCTTTCGTACTTTTATGATATTTATTTAAACTCTGATTATCTACCCACTTCACCTTTAGTATTATGTTACTTTTAAGATTTGATCTAATTTATTTATTTATTGAATTATCTACACATACACATATTACTGACACCTTCGTTATTCTTCTTATCGCTACCTGAATAAACCTTATTATCATTATTTTTGTTATCATTATAACTGTCATCGTTATTACTGACGTTTAAAACACTTAACACACTATTATTATTATTTAATCCAAAAAATCAATGTAAATAAGGGTAAAGCCTGAAGAAGATCTAAATGGAGATACTATTCAAGTATTGGTTTGTAGGGATTTTGTTTGATTGGTTAGAAGATTTCATCATGAGCTGATATTGGTTAGAAAACCATTAGAAAATCAACTCTGGACTACTGGACAGATGTTCCGTCCTAGTTCGGGACTTTTGAGCAGTACGCACCAAAGGGGCTCAGACCCACAACCTTCAGGTTACAAGGCGAGCTATCTTGCGGACCATTAAGTCACTGGGACGCGATCCAATGCCCCCCCCCCTAATGAGTTCTAACTTCTGCCAATACTTGAGAATTGATCTGATGCTCGCTAGCGTCCCTGTTCAGGCTTTTACCTGAGGTTCTAGTGGGAAGCCGTGACCAGGAGAGTGCAGCAAGTTGAAGGTGAGGCGGTTACTCATCGAAGAAGACATTACGAAGTGGTCGCGTAACATGGTGCGTGAATTGCCAGAAGTTAGAATTCATGAGGTGGCCATCGTATTGGGTCCCAGCGAGTAGCTTAATGGTCTACGAGCTGGCTCACATTGTAACCGGAAGATCCTACGTTTGAATTGTGGCGGTGGGTGAGTACTGATGAAGAGCCCTAAGCTAAGTCTTAAGCGAAACGTGTGTCCAGTACACCCTGGCTTTTCCAGCGTTCTCTAACCAATGTCAAGTCATGATGAAAACAGCAGTGTTCGCTTATACGTCTTGTTTTATTATTAATAATTGAAATATTTAAAGATCCATTGTTTTTATTTGAATGCAAATATCTCAATAATCTGATACTTTTTTTTCATAGTGGATGGGTGGAAGAACACAGGCTATTTCTACAACTTCAAACCTGTCTACTCTGTTATCTGTCTCCATAAAATTTTCTCAAATTCTAACTTTAGAAACTTGAAATGTTACAATCGACCTTGAAGTACTGATGAATAACCGCAGTGACACTATAATTGGTGGATGGTGACTAGCAATGGAATTCAGGATAAGGTGCATCTTGTCCTATTTGGGACTTATCACCTGGATTTACCTGCATTCCACAGTTAGTGATGATGTTCGCATCACTGAGGCTCGAACCCAATGCCCATAGTTTCAAACAACAAAGCGGGTTATCCACTAGACCACTTGGACCACGAGAGCCACCTCTTGTGCAACGGGTCAGGTACATCCAGTTGCTGACGAGTCCCAAATAGGACGAAATGCGCGTTATCCTGGATTCCACTAATGCTAGTCACCATCTACCAATTAAATTCTAACTAAATACCCAGACATTGTAGAAGCATCTGCACAAGAAGCCGACATGTCAACCTGAAAGTGAGGACTTCGGTCCAATCAATCCATGGACGGGAAAATCTTAAATTCGATTAAAGAAGTGACCATATTTGTATTTGTATAAAACTTGGGCACTGTGGTAGTAAGTAATTCCATATTAGTTTGTTTGTTAGATTACAAACTAATAGGGACAATATTTGTATTAGGAATTACTTTGAGAAATCCTATTAACCTGGATTTATTGTTCAAACCTCCACCTTGAGTTATATCCTCTAAAATACTATTAAAGACTCTTAGTTTAATAATTAGGCTTATCTCTATACAAATCGATTGAAAACTGACACAGATGTTGCAGGTTTTAGTGTTTTTCGGCGTTGAATTGCGAAGCCTTCATTATCCTTCTCGACATTGTTCTCAAAGAAAACTTCTCATAAAAGTTCTCACTTTGTTGAGTTTAGCACTGGAGATGTTGTCTTAATGGGTAGTGTAAGCTTTGCTTACAGCTATACCATCCAACTTTGGAAAGACAATAACATCGAGAAGATTCCCCATGCAAGCACAATCATTCTCCATTATGATTGTAGTGGACTGTAAAGAGGAGCTGTTCAAATTCTAAATATGTTAAAAAGTAAATCAATATGTTCTTCACCAGAGAAGTTGCTTATGATAAGTTGTTTTCCAGAAGTGTCCCTCATTTATGATTTCATGCAAGAATGATTGGACGATTGTTAGGTCTTGTGGATAGACCTGAAGTTGAAACAGATAAATGTCTGATGAAAGGAGGCAAAGTATTCCTAGGTTATGCCGTTTTTTATAAATTCAGTAAATAAAACGCCTAGTTTAACGCTGAAACCAGAAGAAGTACAAACATTTCAGTGTAAAATTTGGTATTACTCACAATGTTCCCTAAATAAGATTTAGTAATGTTCAGTATCGAAGATGATTTGTCAACCTTCATCTATGACTTGTTTTAGCCGATACCTCTTACTATTTATATATTAGTGATATTACAAAAGAACAGAGTGCTTTGAAGATGTGCCGCGGAAGCCCTATCTCCCCACTCAGAACGCATAACTTTGTAAAGAACTGACACCAGTTAGAAAATCATTGAAAACTGGGGGGCGGGGGGAGAGCTTTAGACACTGTTTCATTCTAGTTTGGGATTCTTTAGCAGTGTACGCTTTTGATTCCATCTGGAATCTGAACCCAGAACTTTCGGGTTCCATTGACTGTTCAGCCACCAGGTCGAAATTCAACGACCCATGTTTTCTAATTACCGTCAATTTCATACATTTATTCACCTTAATGAATTTGAATAAAGCGAGAACTACAGTTTTTGCAGAATAAAATGGTATCATCTTTTATTTAGTTGGCCTCTCATCAGCTGCTTACAGGCCAAAGACATCATTAAGTATATCTACAAAACAATTTTAACATACTTGCACAGAGTTCATTTTAAACAGAAATCAGTCGATCAATATATGCATACAGTAATAATACATACATATATATATATACGTAATATTAAACACTATTCCGAACAATAATAATCATACACACTAGAAACTTTCGACATCACGTAATCAGATGAAAGAGAGGGTGAAAATATCCAGCTACCAGACAAGGTAAAGGAAGACTGATAACTGCTTCTTTCTGAACGCAAAATTCAGGTTTTAGGCACTTGATGAGATGGCTTCAACAAACTTGAGGAGAACTGAGCTCTTTTGCCTAATGATAATTTTGAATTCACATCCATGGTACACTCAATAGACAAAAGAGTTCAGTTCTCTTCAAGTTTGCTGAAGCTATCACCATCAAGTGCCTGAAACCTGATTTATGCGTTCAGAAAGAAACGGTTATCAGTCTTTCTTTGAACTGTCTGGCAACTGGATTTTTTCACCTCTCCAGTGTATATGATCATTATTGTTCGGAATAGTGTTTGATACTATATTATATATATTTATTATTACTGTGTGCATATATTGATTGATTTTTGTTTAAAAATGAACTCTGTGTAGGGTAAGTATGTTAAAATTGTTTTTGTAGATATACTTAATGGATGTCTGTGACCTGTGAGCAGCTGATGAGAAGCCAACGAAATAAACAATGATGGTACCATTTTACTCTGCAAAAACTATAGTTCTTGTTTTATTCAAATACTGTCAATTTGTGGTTTATTTGTATACCAAAGCAATACTATCAATGAGCTTCCTGTTCACTCTGAAACGGTGATGTGAAAGTTCTGTATTCGATTCCTGGTAGGATCATGAGTTTGTACGCATGAAGAGTCCGAAGTTGGACGAAACATTTGCCTAGTGCTTTGTGGTTTCCAGTGATTTTCTATTCTTGATGATACTAATAGTATATCTGGAAATTTTGTCGTGTTCATACGAATTCCATGAATGACAGATTCGTACATCATCTTAAAGGTTAATTGGCAACAATGTTAAATAAATTATAGCTGTTTTTTTTATTGTAATGATCCTACACTTAGCTTTGGAATTAGGTAATCTTTGAGTATGAACCACTCAGGTGAAGCTTTGAAGGTATTTGGAAGCAAGTGGTCGTCACTTGATAACACAATTTATCTTAAAAAATCACAAAAATCCTTCAATTTCATCATCAAAGTTGACAAAAGAAAAGGTTACATGATTCTGTCATAAGCTAACATCGGTTAGAGAATCATTGGGAAACCTGAACTCAAGTACTGGACAACCAACTGTTCCGTCAGCTTAGTTTTTAACTCTTCAGCGGTATTCATCCACCCAACAGCCAGGGTTTGAACCACCCACAACATTCCGGTTACAAGGTTTAGCTGGCTGATAGATCATTCTACCGCTGGGACCCGTCAGTCTAATGACCAGTCACTGCATGAATTCCAACTTTTGACATTTCACTCACGATATGCGATGACTGGCACTAGCCAGTGTCACCACTGGCGAGTAATTGTGCTGACGACCGACCTACTGTACTCTACTGGTCAAAACTTCCCACCTGAAGAAAAGATGTTGAAATAAAAACCGCCATTATTGTGATTATTATTATTATTATTAACGTAAGAATTTGTGGCACTAATTAAAAATAATGCCTTCTGCTTTCTTTTAACAGAGTGAACTTACTGCCAAAGACGGAGATAAGTCAATCACAGAAAATGAAGCTGAGGGTCAGAATACACCGTAAGTAATACAGACTATTACGTAACAATTATTATTATTATTCAAACAGTCTGAACCTATACGGCTTTTTGAACTGGTAAGATCTCCTACAAACGAACAAAAAAGGCCCCTTCACTATTTAGATGACTTCAATCTGGTTAGGAGACGCTAATGTTTGATGTAAGCAGTTTCCTACTAATTATATCGACAAGTAGTATATTCCATCACGTAATTTTCAATGATGATTTAAAGCAAATCTTATATTGCGATCTAAATATTTTGCATTTCCGAAGGAAATACTTGTAGATTCTCACCCCCTGATAACATTGAGTGCTTCGTCATTTTGTATGATCAATTGATTGGGGTGGCGGGTGGGAAAGCGTCAGCTAATTAACTTAAACTCATCAAAAAGTAGATCAAAAACTTGATTTTCCCTGATCTTATCCTTTATACAGTTCATTGGAGTACAACTTTCTTAGTTCTCGTTGCGAAATAAGTGGGGAGAATTTTTTGTCTCATTTCATAATCTTATTTCCATTGAAGGCGTCGGTGGTATAGCGGTTAGGACGCTCACCAACCATGCACATGGTCCCCGGTTTGATCCCCAGCCACTGGACGCACTCCTTTACCTCGCTAAGTCAGAAATAATGCTGGTAAAGAGGAAAGCTTGGGCATGGGGCTAGCAACCTCATCCTGTAAAATAAACACTGCTACAGAAACTTCAAGCCACTAGCTTGAAGCCCTATGTTCCACTGAGGAACGTGAAGGAAAAAAGAATTTCGATTGAAGAACTTTAACAAAGCAGGAACAAGAAGTTGAACCGGATAACATCGCGACATTTTATTTGATGATTGGGTTTTATCAACTCCACACAAGTGTCAACATACAAAGTGTTCACATACTTTAATTTATCAGATGGTAACCATTATTTTGACTGGACACTAGTTAGTAACTAGTGTGATGTGTCTTGTCTAGTCTTATCTTTGGTGCAGACTGAATTCCATCAGTCAGGTTTTCAATGTGGCTAATTGCGAGCCTGAATAGCTACCAGTGGTAACGTCTCTTTCCGATTGCAGCATCGGGTGATGCGGGTTCGAATTTCAGAAGGAGGGAGATGAGTTTCTTCAAGACGGTAGCAGATACGCCTTGCTGACTGGTGAGTGCCAACTAGCATGAAACCTAGGTGAGATAGGGCTTCCTGTCGATTGCCTCCAACAATCTAATACCATCATCAGATTAGTTGTGACTATAATTATTATGCAAATGAATGCTCAAGGAGTTGAAAGAATGGCCCTACAAGGTGTCTGTACGCTTGCTGGTAGACATATGAAGAAGTTACAAGAGTATTTTAGAGTTAGGAGAACAAGTTGAACATTAATTAAAGGTGCAAAAAAGAATAAGCAACACATGTACCCTTGAAGCAATCGATATCTCATCGGAGGTTCGAAACTCCTATCACTCAATGCGCTTTTCAAGCGCATAGTTAACCTCTTGAATACACTTGTTGATTACTAAGGTGTAACCAGTATCATATGTCTAGTTCTAAGTATTGACTGCTGACTGAATCCCACCAATCAACCTTGTAATGTAGACACCAAATTAGTTGAATTTTCGTTGCAGTAGTCGTTTTTCAAAAGGCATTCATAATAAATAATCCTAAAAATTTAATTTAATTTTAGATTTTCCCTTCGATTGATTGGACTGAAGTGCTCGGTCTCACTCAGGTTGACATGTCGGCTTCTTGTGCAGATGCTCCGACGATGTCTGGGCATTTTTTTTCCTTCACGTTCCCAGTGGAACATAGGGCTCCAAGCTAGGTGCTTGAAGTTTCTGTAGCAGTGGTGATTATTTTTACAGGATGGGGTTGCTAGCCTCATGCCAAACCTTTCCTCTTCACCAGTCTCACTAGTGGCTTAGCGAGGTAAAGGAGTGCGCCGGCCGGGGATCGAACCCCGGACCATGTGCATGGTCGGCGAGCGTCCTAACCGCTATGCAACCGACGCATTTAAATTAGAATTTATGGGCACTGGGTTCGAGCCTCGGCGGAAACATCACTTACTCATCGGGAAATGCAAGTACATCTTAATGACGAGTCACAAACAGGACGAAACGCGTATCGTGGATTCCACTGTTAGTAAACATCCACAAATAAAATTCCTGAAAATTATATTTTTCATAAATCTAATCTAGTCGCAATTCTCTTACAGTACTCTGATAAAAAGCCTTTGAATTCTTTGATTGTAATAATTCAGTGATTCAGTAGTCCACTGCTTAGCAGCCACCCAATGCTCTCCGAAATTAATCTAGTTTACGGGAGAATTCTAGTAATTGTAATACCAACTGCAAAGAAATCTCACTGATCAAAACATGTGGACTAGACAAAACAGATGTCCAGTGTCTCCTTGATTTCTGATAATTCACCAATTGATTTTAGTACATGACGAAATCTAACTAGGAAGTCAGTCAAGTCCCTACAACCTGAGAAATTAAAACATTTACGAAAAGTAGTGCTATAACTAATAGGTAGTGCATGACAAAATCGAAGACCCACAAGCGAAAACCAACAAACTGGTCAAAGGAGCAGCAAAGACAGGACTCCAAGTGAACATAGACAAGACGGAGGTTGTGAAAATAATCAACCAACAACAACAGTAACATCTAGCGCCAATCACCATCAACGGGAGGGATTTGAAAGAGGTTACTTCATTCACTTATCTAGGGAGCATTGTCCTCGGAACGGATGAGGATGCCGAGAGAATCGAGAATCGGGAAAGCGAGAAACATGTTCATCAACCTGACTAAAACCAATCTGGAAATCTTCGTCACTCAACTTGGCATCAACAACCGAATTCAGTCGGATTTTCAATACAAACAACGTCAAGTCAGTCAGTTCTTCTATACGGATCAGAAACTTGACGGGCGGGTCAAAAATAATATTTCCAACAGTTTGTTCCAGACCTTTATCAATAACTGTCTCCGCTCTATACTGAAGATCAGATGGCCGGAAAGAATCACCAACAAAGAGAAAGTGGAGATGGTTTGAACACTCGCTGAGGAGGCCGGGCCGCTGGGAGACATCGCGCGCGCGTCAGGCCATTGCTCGAGTGGAACGCAAAAGAATGGGAAGCGGTGAATGGGACGTCAGTGCAAGAGTGACATGGAGGAAATCATGTGAAGAGGAGTTGAAACAGTATGCACTAACATGGATGCAAGTGAAAACTACAGCGGAAGGAAGACAGAAGCAAGTGGAGACGTTCAGTTGAAGCCCTATTTTCCACTAGGAACCCAAGGGAACAATAATAAAATAATAATAAGTTCATCTGTTGTAAATCTTCTCTGTGTGTATGTGTAATCATAGCTATATGCGTCGGCGGTTCAGCAGTAGAATAATTGCCCACCATGCACGTGGCCCAGGTTCCGTTCTTCAGCCGACGCACTCCTAAACCTCATTTAACTGGTCGTAAGTCGAGAAAAGATAGAAACTTGGGTCTAAGGCTGTTTATCTACCCCGACCGCAAAAAATAATAACTCTACTTCTACTGAAACCTAAGGGTTCAAAGCCTCCTGAGAGTATCACTGCTACTAAAGCCTCAAGTTATTATTATCATTGTTCCCTTGGGTTTCAGGTGGAACATATGGCTTCAACAAGACATCTCCTCTTTTTCTTCTTTTTTTTATGCCATCCTCTTGATCTGGGCCTACGATTGCCCATAATCTCTCATCTCTTCCTCACACGATCTCCTCCATGTCAATCTCGTACTGACGAACCACTCGTCGCTTATCATTGGGATTCCACTTAAGCAATGGCCTGCGCATTGCATGCGATGTCATTCAATGGTTTCCTCAATGTGTGGTCAATCCATCTCTATTTTCTCCCATATATTAGTTGAGCGGTCCACAGTCTCTTCTCAGACATTTTTTCTGGTCATTTGATCTTCAGTATGTAGCCAGCCAGTGAAGTAGGCAACTGTTGATGAAAGTCTGCAACAGGTTGTTGGAAATCCTTTTCTTGATGCACTGACCAAGTTTCTGACCCGTATAGAAGGACCAAATTGACATTGGTTGTTGAAATTCTCAGTCTTGTGCTTTATGTTGACTGCAGTGAAGATTTTCAAACTGGTTTCAGGTTGATGTAGGCGTATCTTGCCTTTCCGATTCTGACTGACTGACTGACTGGCTGACTGGCTTCGACATTTTCATCCTTGCCATCCGCCTGTAGTTGAAACAATGTTGGCTGCCTAGATAGATCTCTCCTCATAGCTTAAAGCCTTCTGTACTTCTCACAAAACAATTATCCCTTATCTAAGTCAGTATTGTGTTATCACTGATCCATGTTATCTATTTTGTAATTCTGTATTTTCAACTATTCTTTTCATCTCACATATACAATCAATCTCTGCTTCATTTTTAGGTTGTTAACCACCAATAATCATAAAGAGGGCAACAGTTTCCTTCCAAAAAAGTTTACAACTCGTGAAACCACGAATTTTTTAAAATCATGGTTAAATGAGCATAGACACAACCCGTATCCTACAAAAAATGAAAAAGTTATGCTTGCTTTAACCACAAAAATGAGTTTAACACAAATCTCCACATGGTTTGCTAATGCAAGAAGACGATTAAAAAAAGAGAATCAAATGACATGGGCGCCAAAAATTCGACACCATAGAATATCTATACACTCGGTGAATAGTAGTAATACGCATGCTAATTATCATAGCAATAACAACGGTGGTCGTATTCACCGTAGATATGACTATCACAGTTCTCAAAGATTTAGTAATAATAATAATAATGGTCTGTCCAAATTCAAGTTTACCCCACAGACAGATTTTTTGACGAATCAGATCAACTCCAGTAATATATATCAATCGCATGAGGATAATGCAACTCTTTTAAGAAGGCAATTAATATTGGATCAATTATTACGTAACAATAAACAACTACAACAACAACAACAACCACAAGAGCTGTATGCATCACAGTTAAACGATAGTTTAAAAAGAACTTCCAACATTTTATCGATTAATTCCGATTTTACTGAGATTATCCCTGTACTAGGTCATGTATCTGTTAAAAGAACATCTAACAATGACAATGTCTATAGTCCAGCTGATGAGGTTGATGATGACGGAACTCAAATTCATGTCAGTAATGAAATTAAGGATAATGATGACCATATTTTGTTGAATGATAAAATCAATAGCCAAGATACTCCACGAATTCCTGCTAACAGACCAACTGATGGTGACGATGATGATGATGCTATTCCTTGTTCCACAGCATCTTCATTGCCTTCTTCTTCTTCGCCGACATCAGCTAAAGATGCTTCGCATCGAAATTTTCAAATGAATATTTCAAAAATTTGGTCAGTTGCAGATGTGATTGATTAATAGATGGGAGATGAAACATAAAATGTGAATCAGATGTGAATAGATGAGTAGACGAAATGTTCCAAGAGGAAGATATCATGATGAAATAATGTAAAAAAAAGGCTAGAGACATGGAATATCCTAATGCGAAACGTTGGATAACGCAAATAATATATACAACGTGTAATGTGATAATAAAGACATTCGTTTTATATTTAGTTTTTTTGTTTTAATGAGGTCAATTTCTGAATGCCTTTTGTAATCCTCATTAATGCGGCATTATTTATGTAGTTGAAAACTCCGTTAAATACTAAGAAACATGATGACACTCGGCTGTGATATGAAGGGATCAGGGAAAATTCTTCAGAAGGCGCTGACACACACACATATATATATGTATATGTACAGTTGGTGACATAGGCGTAGAAACTAGCCGATGACGCCTCATGTAGTGCGGGGTTCAAACCCCGGACACTGAACGCACTCGTTTACCTCACTAAGCCTGCAAGTAATAAGACTGGTGAAAAGGGAAGGCTAGGCAAGGGAGGTTAGCAACTCCATCCCGTGAGAATAGACACCACCACTGCTACCGAAACTTCAAGCCTGTAGCTTGAAGCCCCGATGTTCCACTGGGGAACGCGAAGGATAAAAAGAAATTATGTCTAGTTTGGTAGACAAAGTTACTTTATTGAGCTGATTGATTTAATTGAGACGATTTCGTCATCACCCCCTCCCTCACTTCTAGGACAATATCTTCAGCGCAGGCTTTGGCATGAAATGAGCTCATTGAAATTCTCCATGAATGATGATGAAATTGCATTTCCTTGCTGACAACCATTGTCTTGACTTATTGTTTGTTAACTTACGTCTTTAATGATCAGTTCAGTTCACTAGGAATTCGAAATTTCTTGTTATGTGATTTACTTTTTATTAGTTTGTAAATTTGGTCTATAGAGGTAATGTGTTAATTAATTGTTAAATTCACAAGATAAGAAGAATTAGACAACAAAATTCCATTCCTAAATGTTTTAATCAATAGGACTAATATAGGAAATTTAGAAACACAAGTATATAGAACATCAACTCACACAGACCAAATACTCAACTAAAATAATAGAGAAGATTTGTAGCTCAGGTGCATGATTTGTAATTAATAGTGTTCTCTGAGCTGGTTGGTTGGTTTAGTTGCGGAGCTTTCGTCGTCACCCTTCTGGACGAAATCTTCAGCGCAATATTTAAGATAAAGTGAAATGTTATTCAATTGAATTTTTGATTTTCCCGTCGATTGATTGGACCGAAGTGCTCGGTCTACTCAGGTTGACATGTCGGCTTCTTGTGCAGATGCTTCGACGATGTCTGGGCATTTAAATAGTATACAATTGGTGGATGGTGGCTAGCAGTGGAATCCAGGATGAGCATTTCGTCCTATTTGGGACTCGTCATCTGGATGTACCTGCAATTAAATGCCCAGACATCGTCGAAGCATTTGCACAAGAAGCCGACATGTCAACCTGAGTGAGACCGAGCACTTCGGTCCAATCAATCGACGGGAAAATCAAGAATTCAATTCAATAATTAATATGACCCGTTGCACAAGAGGTGGCTCTCATGGCCCAAATGGTCTAGTGGATAACGCTTTGGCGTTTGAAACTATGGGTACTGGGTTCGAGCCTCAGTGGGAACATCATCACTCACTGAGAAATTCAGGTACATCCAGCTGACGAGTCCCAAATAGGACGAAATGCGCATTGTCATGGATTCCACTGATAGCCACCATCCACCAATTGTATAATAAAGTGAAATGATTTAAATTTCTTCATGAGTGATATAATTGCGTCTCCCGGTAACCATCTTTACATATGTATTGACCGTTTTCTATTGACTTGGATTTTAAACTTTCTGGTCACAAGATTTGCTTTTTATTAGTTGATATAGTCCATCTATATTAACGTGTTTATTAATGGCATTTTCGTTTGAGTACCAGGCTTCTAGGAATTCCTTGGCACTGCACTTTTGGTGTTTCCTCTGTTTAAGATTTCGATATTATCCCAATTGTCAAACTGATGTCCATAATTGTCTATATGTATTGATATGAAAGAGTTTATATCATGTCTTTTCATGGCTGATTCGTGTTCTTGGATTCTAATTGGAGGGGGACACCCACTTTGGCCAATGTAATGCTTGTTACAGTTCATACAATTTATTTTGTAAATGGTGTTAATTTTATCCCCTTTTTCTGTTGGATCTTTTAGTTTGCATAAGATCGAATTAAGCGATTTCACTGGCTTGTGTGCTACATCTATATCAAACGGTTTCACTATTCTAGCTGTTATATCAGAGATATTTCTCATGTATGGTAGAATGAATTTCTTTTTGGTCTTTGGTGATGGTTCTTTGTTGGTGCTTCGATTCGACTTTAAACACTTTTTGATGAAATTTTTGGATAACCATTCTTCTTGAAGACCGTTTGTAGGTATTTCTCTTCCATTATTTTCAATTTTGGAGTGCTACAATGTGTTTGAACTCTTCTCAACAATGTCTGCACACAATTTCTTTTTTGAGTAATTGGATTATTGCTAGTATAGTTGAGTATTTGATCTGTGTGTCGGCGTTGATTTTCTACATACTTGTGTTTCTAAATTTCCTGTGGTGTTGGTTCTCCTGATTAAGACATCTAAGAGAAATGGAATTTATTATCTAATTCTTCTTTTCTCAAGGTGAATTTAATGTCTTCAAATATGTTGTTTATTAATTTATGGGTATATTCTAAATCATTTCTCTTAATTGTTACAAATGTATCATCAACGTAACGTACCCAGATTTTTGGTTTAATTATAGGTAGAGCTATTAATTCTAATCTCTGCATGACGGCTTCAGCTATTAATCTTGATATGGGCTATGATCCCATTGGGGTTCCCTTTATCTGTTCATTTATTTGAGTATTGAATTGGAAGCATCTGTTGTAAGGCATAATTTTATGAGTTCTATCCAATTTGAACATCACTGCGTTTTTATGTTTTCATCATCACTATAGAGTAATTGTTGCATAGTTTCTATTGCTCAACCAGCGCTCAGAGAACACTATTAATTGCAACTCAACTATACTAGCCTTAATCTAATTAGTCATAAAAGAAACTGTGTGCAGACATTGTTTAAAAAAAGTTCAAACAGACTGTGGCATTCCTGTTTTGAAAAGAATAAAGGAAAAATACCTACTAACCATCTTCAAAAAGAATGTATATCCATCCCCCTCACAATTTCTACAGAAAGTGTTTAACCTCGAGTCAGAACACTAACAACAAGGCAGTATCAAAGACCACAAGAAAATTCATCCTATCATATGTATAAAAAAAATATCTCTGAAATAACAGCTAGAATATTAGGACCGTTTAAAATAGATATACCACACACAAGCCAACCAGTAAGCACAATCACTTCATTCAGTATTGTGCCCATCAAAAGATCCAACAGAAAAAGGAGATAAAATTAATGCCATTTACAAAATAAATAGCATGTATGAACTACAATAAACATTATGTCGATGAAGGCGGGTGTCCTCTTCGAATCCGAATACAACAGAACACAAATTGACTGTGAAAAGATATGATATATACATTCTTTCATATCAATGCATGCAGATAATTACGAACATTAATTCAGTGATTCGGATAGTGTAGACATTTTAAAAACATCTGTCTGTCTGTCTGTTTTCGACATAGAACTTTGCACAAATGTGCGGAAGTTCAAGTCGCCACATTCCGTGTAGCACGCGAAGCAAGAGAAGAAAGTACAAGAAAAGCATAATAGAAACAGTGAGCAGAGGTGTGAGACAAAGGAGTAATAAAGAAATACAAAACAGTTTCATTGAAGATCATAAGTCACAGGGAGTGGATGCATCTGCGCCACTGAGAACGGTTTTGAGCCATGTCACCCATTGTTTCCAACCTCCATTGGTTTTTACCGTCCCGAGGACCCCAGCCTGGAAGTCTACACCTTTCTACGTGGCTTAGACCAACTGTTGTGGATTTCATTGACTGATGCCAAGTTTTTGTTTGACCGCCGCTAGCTTTTTTCCAGCCTGACCCTATATCCGCTAACATTGCTCGTCGAGGGAGGCGATGGTTTGGCATACGCAACACATGTCCTAACCATCTCAGTCTTTGTAGCTTCACGACTTCGTCGATTGATTTCCCCTGTTTACCTAGAACTCTACGCCTAACCTCCATGTTGCTCACCTTATTATGCCACTTTACACGGGAAATAGAAAGCAGGCACTTTTAAAAACATAGGAAACATCAAAAGTACAGTCAGGGAATTTCTAAAAGCCTGGTTGGTATTCAAGTGAATCAGCCAGCAATTAACACAAAAACACCCACTAATTACTACTATAACCAAATTTACCAACTAGTAAAAAGTAAATCATGTGATAAGAAAATCCGAATTCCAAGTGAATAAAAAAATGGTCAATAGAGACGCAAATTAACAAACAATGAGATAAAACTACATCATTCATGGAGATTTTCATTGATGCTGTCTAGAAGAGGGGCGATGAAAGCTTCTAATTGAATCAATCAGCTCAGACAGAGAACTCAATATCATTCACCTGAGCTACAGTTAATATTACTGTACAGCACCACTGTGTGATACTTTATCAAAATAAATTCTTATCCATAATGGAGTTATGCTCTACCACAGTCCCCAAGTTTTATACTTGTACCTGAGCTACAAATCTTCTTAACTGTTTCAAGACAAAGTTATGTTGTCAGGCATGTGATCCACATATGAGTACGTTCTTGAAAGGAAACACCACTTGACTTGATAAAGCTGTATTGAGGAGTATGTGTATTTCTATGTGTTGCCCATTAACCTCAAGACTAAATTATGATTTTTGAAACGTTTAAAACATGTGAAAACATCAGTTCAGACAACTTTCTGAGAACAAAACACGTAGATCAGCGAAGAGTCTCTTTTCAACGAATTCATTTTCACAACTGTACACTCGCAAATATACATGTGTTATT